CGAGAGCCCTCTCGCGAAATCGGTGTAATATCCATAATAAGTAAGCAGACAACGAGCTGGACCGTTGGCTGAAATTGCAAAGGTTGATGCTACGTCAGGAAATATGTTGCGGATTTTCAGGAGTTCTCCCTAAAATTCTATAGCATTAAATGTAGTTTGTTGCAAGACTTATGGACCGACCTAATATTTTGCCATGAATACCTACGTTCAAAGAAAATCTATATCTATTACCTCCCTAGATTTCGCTCACAAATCATCTCTTCGATGCTCCATATCGAACATAGAGCGTCAGATGCTCCAACGGCTACGCGTTGCCCATCTGGTGATACTGCTAACGCTACGCAGTTAGACTGGCCAGAATGAGCGACTACAGTGCGAACCAACTCCAAGTCAGGCATCCTGAAAATGAGTACTCTACTTTTGATCGAACCCATGCAGAGAACGAATACAGCTCTCTGCAAAAAAAATTCAACGCAAAGTTTTGCAGCCGCCTCTAGATGAGCATGTGGTCTCCGTCCAGTTAGTGAGGTATACTCGTGAGTGGCGTTAACGAAAAATTTGCTATGCCCACTGCTGTCGTAGACGATCCTTCAGTTTCCCCAGCTGGAAACATCGGGTGGTCACGCTCAAAATCCGCTTATCTGTGGCTAGGTGCCTCGGCAATAAAGCTCTACGATGATGACCGTTTCTTGCTGTCGCTAATTATAATCACAAATATACAAAAAAAATCAAAAGCGTGGCGACCAGCCGGTTGAAGTGTTTGGCTCCCTCGCCTTTACCATTAGTGTACAGGTTCAGACATTCCTGTGATGGCAAAAAAGTATTGTAGAGTTCAGAATTAGTAACTTACTTAAATATCTCTACTCTGCCTTGCCCTGTGGCAACAAAGAGGTATTTCCCAGAAGGATGATATGCGAATTCGTTCATTTCTGTCTTTGATTCATACGACTGAAAAGAATGCGATATTGGTGAATTACTGTTCCAAAGGCATTAACATTGACAGGGGGTTCAAATTAACCTTCAGAGTGCTCAAAGTTCTTCCATCTATCACGTGCAGCCGATCTTCCTGTCTCCAAATAAACCCAAGTACCTCCACATGAGACCATGGGTCACCATATAAGTTCGCGGCTGTAAACAACATGACAGTGTGAAATTCGTTCATACATATTTCATGTGAAAGTACTGCTGTCAACTTCATAACAATATCGAATAAGTGACGAAAGCAAGTGATCAGCGCAATGAGTCTAAAGCGATGCAAACCTCTCGTTGATAATCTGGTATGGGTTTTCTGTTGACGAATATCCCATATAATGATTGATTTGTCAGTGCTCGCGGATGCGAGAAGATTCGGATTTGTGCGATGAAATGCTACCTGAAAGCATTTTCAGAACATCATCAAGAGGTCATTGACGTCATCCACTGACGTTCGCTAGGACAGAAAGCGACTTCTGCGCTTTTGGCAGCGCGAAACCTTTTTCGCTGAAAAGATGTTCGGGTCCACCAATGATGAGGAGTGGACCTGAGGTTCTTGCTGCGGAAAAATCTCGGAAAACGCTTTCTGTCTTAGTGAACCACACCCCTGCGCGTGTTGCAAGGAGCATGACAAAATGACTCGCAAAGGACGCGCGGAACATTTCGCAAAGATGGCATAGGCCTAAGATGGCAAAAACAGTCTTTAGGACAAAAAAAAACAAGGCACCCACCTGATCGACCGAATCATCATGACCCTGCCCTACAAACGTGCATTTTACACGACATGAGGAGTCCACTGTTCCTACTGAAACACGCCGATCTTGCGATCCACACGCTAAACGAGTTCCATCGCAATTCCACGACAACGCATGAGCTCTTTGCACCTAGACCACCACACTGAAGAAACGAAGCTCAGAACGTTCCAAGTAGAAATCTAAGACTTACCTGCATGTCGTATCCACGCACGCGATGATTGGCCTCGAAGTATGCGATAGCATCAGCGCTTGAACGGATCGCACGGAATGCTTTACTGCGAACGTCTTTCTTGACCGTCATTAAACCTATAAGAGATTTGCTATGCTAACCACTCCTAAAGAAGCTTGATCAAACACTAATTCTCCCCATAATTCTGCTATACTGGGCTCGTATCCGAGGACAAATATGGTACTGCCGACTTCTACTTAAATGTCAATGACAAATCTACTTTTCAATTTTGTTTATTCATAACCAACATTGGAATCAACAAGCATCAAATCAACTGGAATCCCTTAATATGCGACAATCTCTGGCGTCAACACAGACAGTAATGAGCAGAACCCGAAAAAAACCACTTCATAAAGCGAATCTGTGATGTGGGCAACAACGTTGTTCCAACGTAAGACTATCTAATTCCTAGTGAACCAAATCTCAATGATGTTATGAGGATCCACATAAATAAAAGTGCAAGACGTAGGAATAAAAGAAATGGATGAATGTGATCGAATGAGACAAAATGACGAGGTGGAACTGAGCTAAGCCACTGGCGAAATGTCAGAACAAACACCTTTAGAAAGGCTTCTTCAAATGCTCGATGATCTCGTGCTTCCGCTCGACGGTTATTTCCTTTTTCGAAATCATTCCATCAAGAATGACCTCCATTGTAAGCGCACTAAAATTTAAACTGAACATTGAACTCACTGAGCATAGTTTACCATCTTCCAAAATTCCATAAAAGAAGGAATCACGTACCTGTGAAAATTGATGTCAGCACGAGCAAGGCCTTCAGCCGCGCCTTGCTGCCTGTCCAGAACAGCAACCGAGTCCGTAACCTGATACGTACAGTGAACATTTTCATACAAAAAGGAAAATTTCAAAAACAAAAAACGTGAGAGATCTGAAAGACAAAAGCAGATAAAAAAATAAGTCTGGTATCAGTCAGAGGACTCCGATGGATTGAAGACCTAATTCACCGACGGGTCTCAACTGAACTCGCACGGGAATTTCACTACGATATCGAATGAAAACAGGAAGTGCTGTGTGCCCAAGAGTAGATCATGCTGAACCTTCAATAACAGGAGAGCCGAAACAAGGACCATGGTAGCGATGACAAATAGAATAAAGAATACCTCCAATCCTTCAGCCCGTAAAGCTTCGGCTGTTTCACGAATTGATTCTCCGGAGGTGACTACATCCTCAATGAGGAGTACCGTATGTCCCGGAGTAAAAACGCCCTCAAAACAAATACTTACGCAATGCCATTCGATATTATCTTCTCGATAGGAAACTTATTAGCATCTGTTTTACCTCAATTGTCTTCTTCGTACCGTAAGCCTTGCTTTCCTTGCGCTTCATTAGCATAGGCACATCGAGAATATGGCTAACATGCTGAAATAAATAAGTAACTTGTCAATGCTAACGACAACATCTGGATTCTATAAAGTGCTCACGTGGTATGTAATATTCACTTACTGTAGCCAACGGTAGTGCAGCATACGGTACTCCCACCACATAATCGTACTTGAGGTCTTTGGCATTGATAATATCACAGAGAACTTGTGCTGTCATACGCTATAGATATTGCAAATGAGGATAAGACAAAGAACATGTATCAGAAAGATGGCACTAATGCTCTTTCACAACCGCAGGAAGGGTTTTGAAAAAATGCTCTCAAACTTGGCTTAAGGGGGCAATTTATTGCGCTGGTCACGTCACGCTGGTATGATTATCGTTTTGGAAGTTGGAACCAAATGGCGCTTATTTCCACAAAATTCGGTAAACACCAGCATGGGAGTTTGTTGTTCCTTATTGCAAATGTGACATTCGCGTAAAGCTGACCCAAGTAGAGCTTAAATTGGCGTCGAAACTGATACTCCTGGGGGCACTGAACCACTCCATAGGCGAAGCTCCACC